TGGCTGTGGCTGTTACTACGATTGCGGTAGTGTTACATTTACGTACATCTTAGTTCAGGTGTTGCAGTTGAAGGTGGATAAACTTCGTCAAACCATTTGTACCAGTAGTTTTCTCTTGTCCAGTCATACAAGTCATCAATAGGCCTGATAAAATACAAAATAATGTTCAATTGTAATAATAATTGATTTATATCGCCATTTGAATGTAGCCTTCTGAGCAAGCTACCATATATTACCACCACTACCACCGATAAGATATAGAGGATATTACATRKGCGMACGGAGATACGAATTTTATCTTCWAGTGTTGAMAAGATCTCTCACGAGTGAGYGTAGAAGATAAAATTTGTATCTCCAGGCGACCATGTAATATTCTGTTTATCATATAATTAAATGTGAAAGCAAGGTATGTCTTAAAATACCTTTTTTCTTACTTCCACTATATAGAGWAACCTCGAATGTGTTATTTTYACTAGTGAAAATATCAATTTTACGWAATGGAGAARTATAGGTATTTCATAGATAATTATATGATAAATAGAAATATAAGATAGTCAATTTTTTCATATCCCAATCGCAATATCAGTGACTCTATTTAAATCTGTAATTTGTAAAGTAAACTCCATGTAATAAGAAAAATGTTACATAAAATTATTAAGTTTCTTCCAGAATTATTATAATCATAAAYAACTTACTTTGATGGGTCTTCATGAATAAGGTTCTCAAAATTCTGCAAGTCATTGACGCTTGGTGCTTTATTCATCTCAAAGCTGAAGATAAGAAAATATAAATGATTATAAAGAATATTGAGTATTTTGGCCTAATGACAAACATGTGCACTCTGACTGTTTCGAGAGGAAGGAAGGGGTTGAGCGAAGCTTAGGACTGAAGCTCTAGCTCAAAACCAGTTTCATTACAACTTTACTTTGGAAACTTAAGGTATTACAACTTACATTTAATGTCCAAAATGTCAGTAAGTTATTTGAACCACCTACTTTTTACAATGTGAAAAATTATTATCATAATATATTATTATTATTTCACAACTGTAGCTAAAAACCCTAAAAATCAACACAAACACAGTATGTAACTGGAAGCAGCTTGAACTCACCTCTCCTTGTCAGCCTGTTTTGTGCCATAATTCTGTTTGAGTAACAACAGATTGCAAAAGCTGACAGAACTACAAAAGAATAATATCAGYATGTTGKATYAATGTRACAAATACCTTTTTACAGCCTTTTTACCCARGCATTTCTYGTTTCTAGTCATAGATGGAAAACACAGCTCTCTACCTGCTCATCCAATGACCCACTCACGCCATAAAAGTCTAATACCTGAGTAC